GCCCAGGAAAGCTCATGATCCCATCGACGTGTTTTGTTAGTCTATGAAGTGCTACCAGACTATTTGCTGTTTTTTAAGTTTATCCTGTACAGACGAACTCGGCTACCCCGTGAAGCTTCAGATCTCATCAAGTGTGTCATGCAGAAGCTGGGCAGCCCGCCTCCCCTGGCTCCATGGCAGAGCTGTGCTCATTGTCCCAGTAAGGGAAACGTTCCCAACCCCATCCTCTGTAAGGGAGGGCCCTGCAGAAGGGAGCTCAAGCCTGTCCCACACACAGTGAATTCCAACCCAAGGACACCAGGCAAAGGCTCCACATTCACTAGAATGCTCCTCCCAAAAGATGTTTCCAACCTTCACTGGGGTCTTCATTAAAAAAATAAAACAAAAATGGGTTTAATGTAAACTATGTAAATGAAGGTTTCTGTGCACCTGCCATCATTACGACAGCCCTGCCCCCAATGGAAATCTGCCATGTCACCTGTCACAATATAGTGTCCTAGAAAATAAAACTATCACCCTGCAGACAGGAAGTAGGAAACAAAAGTAGAATATCCACACTATATCCACAGCTGTGGTAGCATCACCAGACTTGCACAAGGTCACTGAGAAGCCCTCCCCTTTCATATTTATCTGTGTGCAGAGGGCTATGGGGCTTTGATCATCATACCAACGAACTTCACCTTCCAAACCACAATGTGCAGCCTCTTGCCAAAGCAGCCGGACAGTGCCGGTAGACCTGCTCCTCCGAGCCCTGGGGCATGGGCTGTGCTTAAATCCCAGCTTCCACCTAGTCCCTTTTGTCTCTTCACACTCAGGAGAAAGTGACGCAGCAGCAGCTCATTCCCTGCTGCTTCTTAAGGACACGTTTCTCCTTTTGTGACCCTGTACAGGGCAGCCACTGCTACTGTTCATGAACAAAGGCCAATGCTTTGGCAAAAAGCCTTTCCACTACCTGCCAAAAAGGTGACTTGAAAGAGTGCCGTTGTTTAATGTGGAGAAGGGAACAGAGAATGCCCTTCTATGGGACTGAATGCTGAAAGCGCAGAATCTACAGGAGACAAGAGAAGAGAGCAGCTACTAGCGTGATGAACATGATATAAAAGACAATATAGAATAGACCCCTCCCACACTCTCCGCCTTGAGCCCTACCTAAGAGTACCTAACACTCCATAACACACCTAACACTCTGCTCTCCATTACAAAGGCAGGTTCTTCATAAACCCCATTATTTAATGGCTGGCTCAAGGTTGAAGCATGAGATTTTATCTTTCTCTTACCTTATACAACGTATCTCTAAATGTCACTTTTATCCATATCAATGTCTAACTTTTTTAAAACCCGTCCAAGCAGACTCAATGATAGCTTGTGACAAGGAAGCCAACAAGATGACTACAGGTTAAAAAAAAGGGGTGGGGGGTTCTTTTGATTGATCTGTTCCTTTTTTACTTACATTCTCTTGTTGTTGTATTTATTATGAAAAGAGTAAACAAGAGCACCTCACTGACCTTCTCTAGACCCGTGTTTCTCAACCAATGGTACGAGTACGCTTAGGGGTACTCGAGAGAAGTCTGGGGGGTATGTCAACACAACTGAAATTTGGAGAAAACTGAATTTTTGTTTTAAGTTTTACAGTGCTTTATTATTTTTGTACTTTTTACACCCAAAAATGTCATCGCCCGCTCAGCTACAATTAAGCTGTTTAAACAAATGTGTTGCAATGGTAGAAAAAAAATGTATGTGTCTGAAAACTGTAGGTACTGGGGGTAGTTTATAAAAAAAGGTTGAGAAACACTGGTCTAGACCATTCATGATTTGCCTTCCCTTATCACATGCCTGTTTTTCCATCTCTTCTCCCATTAAGCAGTTCTAACTCATTTGCATTCTTGTCAGGTCGCTAAACATTTTATCATCCATCTATGGTCCCACTTCAATTTGTGCAGGGTCATTTTGACATACAGAGAGAAGAGCTGTGCTCAGTAACTCACAGCCCCCAAGTTACAGAATGGCACTGTAATGTTTTCAGTATGATTATTTTTATCTATCATTTTTGCTACCCTCTCTAGTTAACTCTCTATGCACACACAAAACTACTTGACTTCCATACATCTATATTTACTGTGCGCTCTCTGATTATTTTACTGAATCTGTCTAGAGAACTCTTAAACTGCCCTAGGAACCATTTATACCCTCCTGTTATGACTACCTTTGCCATTGCCTGCTCATTGTGATTACAAAAGATCGTATTAGGGCAACAACAGTCATACTGCACCAGATTTGTTTCAGGTCTGTTGTGATATTGTATATTCAGTAATGCGGTGTGTGATATCAATATGTTCAGAATTCTACCAGGAGTATGTGAGAATGTTCCCAATGCCATACCAGGCACCCAAATTTCAAAACAACTACTAGTTTGCTAAGAAGCGAAACCATGCACTGCTGCTTCAGGCTTTGTATCGGTTATTGTCTTAGGAACAAGGGTTTTTCAAAATATATTTTATTTATAATTTTAATTTCTGACATTGTCATGGTGAGTTTCTTAGTCTGACTGGCAAAAGCAGAAACCTTGATTGTGCATTCTTTACTTTTAAGGCTTGTACTAATAGGAACAACATTTTAAAAACCTTGGTCTGTGCCCATGAAAGCTCATGGTCCCATCTACATGTTTTGTTAGTCTCTAAGGTGCTACTAGACTATTTGTTGTTTTTTAAGTTTTTCCAGTTACAGACTAACTCCACTATAGCTTTTGTCTCTAGTGTAATGATATTTTTTTCCTCAGGCAGTTATGTTCATGTTACTTCAGAGCCATGCTCTTTACAAAATTCACACTTGAACCACAGAACACTCCTCAGTTAATAACATGAGCTCATTTGAGTTTATCTCCAGCTGTGATTGTTTGAGAGAAATGACAAAGAAAAGCTTTCCCTCTAACTATGTCCAAAAGCCCAAATGCCAGTCTCAGGGGCACAGTGGGGCAAACCTCCCAGCCTTGTTTACTTGGTCGCTTTGTGTTATTTGCCCTGGAGTTCTGGGAGCAAATACTTACCAGCAGCCAGGAAATTAGGGCAAGTTTCTGACTAACATCAAAAGTCTACAGTACCTAGACTCAGTTAGGATGGAAATAGATTACATGGGGCTTATAATGTCATTGCTGACATCCACTTTGCTCAATGCAACCTGCTAATGCCAGAGGTTTTAGCCTTAACTGCAGTGTCAGGGAGGTGGAATTAAGATACATATCAACATTGGTTGCACTGTACTAATGTATTCATTTTCTTAGGAAAGAGGCCAGAAAATTCCAGAAAAAGCACTTTCCCAAAGCCAATTACCGGGGGAGGGGGGTGTCACTAGCCCTGACAGGGTTGTTTAGATAGACGGTTGTGGGTTTGGTTTTCCATTGTAACCTAATCACTCTTCAGATCATAATGGAGCTTTTGTGGATTGGGTAGCCCTCCTGCCCACCCCACTGCCAGCTAAACCTGTCTTTGCTGCCTACACACCAGCAATGAGGTCAGTTACTTGTAGCTAAAATCCAGGGCACTTCAGTGTTCCCTGTAAGCCATGTGTTGGTGAGGCCGCCCAGGAGAGATTCAAATGCCACCCAGCTGCTTAGCAGAACGCCCAGAGCTAGGTTTTTGTTTCTACGCCTTGAAGCACATATAACATTTATTCCATGCATGGATGGGGAAAATCTGCAAATGGATGGAAAAGATTCAGGGCTACTCAACATGCAGTCTGCGGCCCGTTCGTTTGCAGCCCGCGGTGCGGTTTGAGTTTATGCGGGACTCAACCCGCGGCCCACGGGTAGGATCCTTTGAACATGGCCTCCACTGGGAACACGCTCCACAATGGCGAGGCGTCTCCCAGGCAGGGTGAGCACTGAAAAACGCAAGTGGACAGGCTGGCTGGAATAGACTGGGGACAGGGTGTTGGCATTTCTAGCCCCCAGAGAGAAGATATTGGGAGTTCCAGGATATTGTGGGAAGTGCTTTGTATTCATGCCCCTTAGTGTGAAAGAAGCTATTTGCATATATTTGCATATATATTTGCATGTATATGCAACCACACTTAACCTTGGCATGTGCTATATCATTGTGGCATCCAGGGCTTCCAAAGTTGAGTAGCCCTGGATTAGAGGGGACATCGCAGGGTAGCCTGACTCATCAAGCAATTCACACCAACCATACACACATAACAAGGAATCTGTTCCTTTGGTAAGAAAATAATGAAGATTATAGACCTGATCTCTCTCAGTTCACCCAGCACTCACTGTCCTAGGCAACTTTGACCCCAGGAATTTTTCCAAACTCAGTTGTCGCTTCACTCAGACATAAATGCTTCCAGCTCAATAATGGCTCTTCTGGGGAATCACCGACAAGATGGTTATAACATGGGCAATACAGGAAAGGCTATTTAAAAAAAAATTCTTCATCTGTGATGCTGCAGCATTCCCCTGGATGTGTTTGCTGGAATGACAGCTCAGTTCCTGCATGCATGCTTTTGTCAGCCATGCTCTAACTGCCACCAGTCTACCTAATTCCACTGCACCCACTGCTGGAGCATGTGGGTGCAGACCTTTGTCACTGCTTTGGCTCTGGACATTTACGGCAGCTAGCATTTGGTTGCTACTACCTTTCTGAGTATCTTCTCTTGTAACCAGCGACAAATGAGCAAGTCTGCTTTGAAACCAGAACTGAAAAATATTACCAGGATTATCTTGCATGTCACAGTTGCTCTCCAGTCACTTAACAATCACTCAAAGAAATGATATAAAATATCACTTTTTTACATAGAAGAATAATAGAGTGTTTGTCAGTCAATTCTGGGCTGACTGAGCCCCTTTAACTGTCTGAAACCAGAGTCCCTTTTTCTCTAAACCTCCCGAGAAAATGTTGACAAAACAGGCAATTTTCTGTAATTTCCCTGCAAGCTTCTGTCAGCATGAGAGGCAGTCAGAGCCCACTCATTTCAGATAACGCCACTGGGTAACCTTTGACATTTACCTTCTCGCTGACTTGGGAGGCTCCTGGAAGTGTAACAGTTGTGTCTTTCAGGTTGCAGGATGCAGGCCTACAATTTGGATCTTAGTTCACTGAAGGCAGCCTTTGTTTCCCAGCTGGCTAAGGAGCTCTTCTAAAAGGGATAAGAAATGTAGTTAATAGCTCAAGAGTGGCCTAATCATCAACTGCCATTACCCCTCCAATATTAGCAGGGATGACAGACTTATCAATAACAGAGCCCCAGGTGAGGTACATGAGCCGATAATGTGAATTTCGGCTTGATCTCTGCTCTGCTGCACACAGCACTCATTTAAAAGAAGCACCAGTGTCTATTTTTTACTTCATATCGTGCCAAAAATCAGTCAGCTGCAGAGCTTTTGTTGTGTTTTTCTATCTTAAACCACAATTTGAACAATTTCATTTATAAAGCAGAGATGAAAACCTGAGAACTATGCCAGTAAATAGCTTACCCAGAGATGCCCCCTGTGCATTTATTTCCATATGGGATAATAATGATGGAGAGCCTCTCCGTCTCACGATGCATATATGCAGAGTTACACACCGATAAACACACATGCACCATGTGCAGCGTGTGTGTGTGGGGTGCAAGTATTGTTCTCTGTAACTGAACAGAAGTTTAAAAGCAAAACATGACATGGGTTATCCATGAGGGATGCTTGAACAAAAGGTATCAACATTTGTTTAATCAAAATCCATCCTTTCATTAAAAATAAAATGTGCTCATTCGTCACTGACCATTCATTGTATTCACAGACTGGGAGTTGTTTTATGTCTCTTCAGATATTTATATGGTCTCATCACCATAGTATCTGAAACTGTTGCAGAGAACATTTTCCTTGATTTGTTTGAACAATCTACATATCAGATATATAATTGAGGCAGACCTTGGGCTTTTCAATAAGTGTTAGTTAATACCGTAATATACATATAATTGTTAATTATGTTATGGGTTGCAAAAAACTAAAAATGCAGTCAAAGCAGGCAGGGGAGTTTAAAGCTACAGGCAGGACTGACTGTGAGCCCAGTCCCACTCCCAACAACCAGAGGGAGAACTGGGCCAGGCAGGATATATCCTGTGACCGGCCCTTCAGGTACGTTATTGCCTGTTTGGTATGTAAACATAGGAACTGCCCAAGTGGAACAGCTCTGAGGTTCACCTTGTTCCAGGTCCCTCTCTCCGAGAGGTCAGCACCCAACTACTCCTAAGACAGGTCTAATAACCCAGCTGCAGGACAGGTAGGATAATCTGTCCCCACCATAAATCACATGACTTCTCTTAGTGAGAGACTAGATTAAGATCTGAAGCATGAGTTGATCAACTTCATGTGACTTGCTAAGCACAGACATGTCCAATCCCTTTCTGAACCACACTGAAATCTTGGCTGGAATGACATGCTGTGATAATGAGTTACAGAACTGAATTATGCATTGTGTGTTTTGAGCGGTGAGGAGTCCTGTGGCACCTTATAGACTAACTGAAGTGTAGGAGCATAAGCTTTCGTGGGCAAAGACCCACTTCGTCAGAAATAGCATGCATCTGACGAAGTGGGTCTTTGCCCACGAAAGCTTATGCTCCTACACTTCAGTTAGTCTATAAGGTTCCACAGGACTCCTCGATGCTTTTGCAGATTCAGACTAACACGGCTACCCCTCTGATGTGTGTTTTGAGTTTCCCACATTGCAACTATATTGAATGGACCCTAGTTTTAGCGAAATGAGTATGGATACAATTTTGTCATGGTAACATTAAGCACAATTCATGGAAGAGTCAAGGAGAAAAAGGACAAAATCAGGGTCTGGTCACTGCAGGAACGAATTGAAGGTGGAGGAAGCCCCACTATCCAGGGCTGAAACTGAACCCAAAAGTCACAGAGATATGTTAAAATCAAGGAATCAATCACAAAATGAGATGCTTAGTTACGCACGAGGGAGAACAGAAGTTCCCAATTTGCCCTTGCTAAGCCATTAATTTGTATATATTTTTGTTATGTTCCTTTGTTTTCATCTGATTCTTGGGAAATGCATCTCACATAAATGCATGATTGATTAGTAAACTTTAAACATGGCTCCAACTCGGGTTCCTTCATGTGGCAAGTCTGGGCATCCTATATGCTGAGTTCCAAGCTACAAAGGGAAATGCAGCCATGCAGAACAAGAAGGAAAAATCAGCCATCCTCAGTTCGGGCATGATCCAAAGCCCGTGAAAGCCAACGGGAGTCTTTCCATTGATTTGTATGGGCTTGGAGCGAGTGCTCTTTCCAGTGAAAATCACCCCTTCCTTGATACTACTGTTAACTACCTCATCCCGTCTCATGGCAGGCCTGCTCCTTTGAGAGCCTGTTTGAGTCCACTTTGAGGCCCTTTACAAAGGGAGATTTACAAAGGCACAAATGGTGGTTAAGGAATAAACTGTCTTTTTATAAATCCAAAGCACTTCTTCCAGTGAAGCCCTCGCTGGCAGCTTCACATACCTGCTGCACTGAATGCACCTCAGTGTTTAGCACAGATCCCACTCTAAAAGGGTTTCTTGTTTGTCAAACATCTTTTATTTGTTTTGTTTTGGGGAAATTTTTAAATGATAGTTCTCTTTAGTCCTTTTCTTTTGAAACAAGGGAACCTTTAAATATAGCCACAATGTTTCATATCCACTCTTTCAAGGATGCCTTTGTTTTCATCAGGTATTTGATTAGAGTTTTGTTACTAATACTAGACTTATAGTAGCTAAATCCAATATAATACTTTCCAGAAATATTACTCAGAACTGCTTAGGCTAATATTTCCAAAGCCAGAATTCTTAAGCAGCTAAAGGCACAATCTCAAATGGCTTAGAGCCACATACCACAATGTCTGACATTAACTTTGTTCCTTACTCTAGAAAGCTTGTGTTTTTAAACTATAGTGGCAATTTTTGCATTGACTTCTGTTCTGGCAGCTTTTTGTTAAGCATTAGACATGGCAGCATGAAGGAAAAAAAATCAGAGTTCTAAAACTCAGAGATGGTGTAGAAGGTCTCAATAGAAGCTAAACACAAAGAAATCTAGGAGCTAAACACAAAGAAATCTGAATCCAGAAAAGAATAATCCCATTGAGTGACCAGTGGCAGCCTGAGAAGCAAAGATACCACTCCAACTGCATCTAAAGGGGCCCTATGCAATTTCCCGTGGGGCAGGATTCAGCAGCAAGAAGCTAAAAGGATCTCCCCAGAAGGGAAAAGTGCACTTACGGCACAGGGACTGATTCATTACAAGGAGAGGAAACTCCAGAAACTTCCACTGTTCTGTTTCAACTACGAAACATGAACTGTGCAAAACTCTAAGGGCTTGATTTGCAAGAAAACTAAGCACCCACAACTCCGGCTCAGGTCAATGGAAAATGCAGATTAAGCATCTCTGGAAATCATCCCGACTGTAAAGTTATCTGCTGATTTGAAGAATTGGTGGACACAGGGTTCTATATGGGGCCTGTCTCTCCTCCTCCTTCTCGCCAGCTAACAGACATCTTAATGTTGATATTTTGCTGTCTTGACATTATTTCTGGTTTCCCATTTCCAAGGCCACTTTGGGATTGAGAACATCCCAGCAATACCTGTATGTGCTCACTCTAGGAACAGAAAAATATACCCGTATTCGCTTAAGGAGGCATATAATAATTTGAATTGTCCTGGTGAATGAAGAGTGTGTGACCCATGCTAGATAGCCAATATGGGGAGCTCAGAAAAGTTCTGTTCTCTAAAAACCCAGCAGGGATCCCTTCTTGGGCTGATTAGATCATTTAATTGCCTCTTTTTGCTATGTTCTCTGGATTCATTCTCTGGCTCCGTGCTAGGTCTACCCTAAACAACTGGGCTTCACTGTCAAGTCCATTCTGAGAGGGAATGAAGTTTCATGTGTCTTCCCAGCTCCAAGTCCTCACTCCTGAAACACTGCAGTTGGATGGATGCCCTAATCCCATAGCACCCTGCCTGGGGACGATGAAGGGTCTGGTGTTTTGTTTGCACACTGCACGTGTGCAGCACTGATAATAGCGATGGAAAGGGACTTGTGCTCCTAATGCTGCGAGGGAGGAGATGATAACTGAGGTGGCCACCCAATTTGGCTTGGTGCTATCAATAGGTCTCACTCCTCACAGCAGCCCATGTGCTGATGGGACACCAAACAGTTGCCAGTTTGTGCCCCAGCCTCAACGTGTGTTTTACCCACGGGGCTCTCTTTTGTCTGTTACGCCCATTGTGTTTCCTAGAAACAAGCCAGGTTTAGTGTCCCAGTCATGCTGCCACTCTGCCGTTTGTTATTTTAACTACTCATAGCCCAAAGATGACAACCCAGCCTGTCTCCAAATTAGCCTTTTTATTGAAATCAATAAAGGAGAAAACACATGACACTAAACTATTTGGTGGCAGCTTTGTTATAAACTCATTACTGAGAACAGCAATTGCACAGACCTTTAACCACTGTCATTGATTCCAGCACAGAGAAGGTGATCTACTGAGTTAATCAGTGATATTACTGTGGGCAGCAGCGTTCCCGCACAGCCCTGCTTAGGGTTCAGGTGGCATGTCCACAGAAAACCCCTTCTATTATTTGGATATAATTTGAATATCTTCACTCAAAATCTTCAAAAATGTAATATTGCCCAGAAAAGTCAAGATTTTACCACACTTTCAGGCCACACATACAATATCAGCACCTAGTTGGCTGACTGGAGCATACTCTCCCCTTAATTGCTGGTGTGCTTCTTGTCACACAGTTGTAAAAGAAGTCAACTTTGCCCTCTAATGGAATTTGACCATTTCTTCTGCAACACTTTTTGGTTACTAGGTTAGGAAACAATCCACAAACTCTTTATCCTGGGTGTCCTGCTAATTCCATTGACTCCAATGACACTAGGAGGCATGGGTTTCACTCTGTGCCCGGTAGCAAGGGCTGGCAGGATTGGGCCCTTCATTACCTACTGCCCCCTCACACACTAAAAGCTTTAATCCCTAGCTGAACCTTGGTAACTCATGGAGGAGCGTATGCCCAAGGAAAGGTTAACATTTTTTCAAGGACTGTAATTTTATGTTCCATTTGTATTCTTCTGAGTTCCTGATTTTATCAAGTTTGCTGAAAGAAA